TAAGTCAAAGCCTCCCATTCTTCTGCTGAAAACTCTCCAGTGGCTCTTAAAAGTAAAAAAGCCAAGTCCTTTCAATGGCCTACTATAAGATATGTCTTCTCCAATCCTTTCTGACCTCCTCTCCTATTCTCCTCACTTTGCTCCACTTACACTGAGGAACACTGAACTGTCCCTCAACATGCTAAGCATGCTTCTGCCTTTGTACTTACTTTTTCTCAAAAAAATCCACTGCTAGATGTCTTACTTCTTAACTTAAAACTTCTTTTATTATTTGTCATTAATGCAATCTCTATCCCCACCCCGCTCCAGGTTTAATAAAAGAATCGCAAGGAAACAGACCTTTGTTTATTTCACCAATATATCCAAAGAGCCTAGAATAGTGTCTCCCACAAAATTTGAAAAAACCAAACCTGTTGCCATTGAGTTGATTCTGACTCATAGCGACCCTGTAAGACAGGGCAGAACTACCCCATAGGGTTTCCAGGGAGCACCTGGTAGATCTGAACCGCTGAGCTTTTGGTTAGCAGCCATAGCTCTTAACCACCACACCACCAGGGTTTCCCCTACAAAACAGCTACTCAATAAAATACCTGATAAATGCACAAATCTTAACAAATATTAAAACCAAAATGTTCTTAACTCTTTGGTATGAACAAATAAAGCCTATCATGTCTACTAAATAAATGCTGTAATTTATTCATTGAAAGGCTTTCTAAAGCTATTTATGGGTGAAATACATATTTCAATGTTCCAAAAATTTAGTTAAAAATTAAGCCACCAGAATGAAAGCTAACTGTGATCTATAATAACATATTCAGTCAGAGTAACGAAAAATGAAGAGTACAATCCCAAACATAGAGTAGATTCAAAATAATATCTGGTTGCTTAAAAAGACTTTAAAACATTTTAAAATCACAATTATTTATTATAGAAAATTACATTTTCAAAACCTAATTACACAGGAGCTTTGTAAGTGCTCCATCTTAAGTTAAATAATAAAATATCCCTTATATAAACAAATATTCAAGAGAGAAGACAGATCCAAGCTCAGAGATTACCACGTACTCCACAATCTTAGGCAAATTTGTCCGAAACAGTTTAGCAATTAAAAACACTGCATACTAAAGAGGAACAGAGTATAATATTGATATATTACTTGATGTTGTTAATTCTCAATCACAAATTTATCAATATGAAAAGTGAGAAAAGCAAATGAAAAAGCAATTTTTAATATATAAGATAGCTAAATAAACAGTTGTAAGACCTGTGTGAGAGTAAATCATATTCTATAATATTTTATTTTACCTTTGAACCAAGTTTTCTACTACATAAGTATACAAACTTAAAGCTGAAAGGAACCCTAGAGAGCCATCATTCCTATGAATTCGTATTTACACAACAAGAGTATAATCAGGTGAGAGAAAAGAGAACTTGTTAAAATATTCAACAATTTATGTAGTGATAAATAATCTGGAAGCATATCTTGGTAGGACTCAGAATTATACTCTGTTTGGACAGGGATTTTCTGTTTGTTTTGTTCTTTACCGTATCTCCAGCATCAGAGTTACTATGTGCCTGGCACATAATAAGTGCTCAATAAGTATTTGATGAATAAATGAATCTATCTCCAGACTCAGAACATTCAGCCCGTGAACTACCAGGCAATCCTAAAGTTACATCTGCAGTCACAACTAACAAAATTCACATACTGCTATGGGCCCATAAAGTCTGGTATAGCAGAATACTCTAATATAAAAAATTCAGTTTTTTTTCAAGACCTGTAGTCTGACCATTAACACCTACTGTGGGTTTTAAAACAGTAAACCTAAAGGTTTGATGGAAGCACTTCCAAAAGGGCCCAAGTAGGCAGTATTCTGGGAACTCCCTAAGCACTCTCAGTAATGGTAATTCTACGTTTACCCATTTTTATTTTTTGGTATTTCAAGCAACTATCGTTTAAAAAGTTTCACTGCTGAAAATACTTGTAAACCAATGATCTAAACTATTCCAAACAAGCTGACTGCCAACTATTTAATCTACAACTCTCCCCAACATATTATGTCCCTGAAGCCACGGCTGAAAGTTATTCTAACCTCTTCTTAGTCCATTTCCTTATTCTGTGGTGAAAACAGAACCAAAGGTCATCTCATTTATATCAAGCAAGTATTTACTGTGTTTAGCTACTATGTGCTTAGCTTTACGTCAGAGGTTTTGAAGGTACAAAGGTATGTATAGAGAAGTTCACTAAGCCAGTGCTACTACTGTTATGCTCACCTCCCTTCCTGGGTATGTCTTCATACTTTGAAAAACTGGAGAGAAGTAGGGTGAAAGGTGTAATATGACACTCAGTACAGAAGGAAGGAGCCCTCCAGACGTAGTGGTTAAGAGCTCAACTGCTAACCAAAAGGTCGGCAGTTTGAATTCACTAGTAGCTCCTTGGAAACCCTATGGGGTAGTTCTACTCTGTCCTACAGGGTCGCTATGAGTCAGAATCAACTCAACAGCAACGGGTTTGGTTTTTGGTTTTTATACAGGACGGGAATCATTATTTTCATTATATAAACTACAACAGATAATGTTAAACAATATTCTTAGTGATGGAAACACTTGGTGATAGGAATATTAACAGAATAAGAATCTTAGGAAAGGGTATGGACTTAAAGTGAGGCATGGATTAAAATAAAACAAAAGGCTGAAAAACACCATCCCCACTACTTTTAAGAAGCATTATAGTACCATATAACTGACTCGATGGCAACTAGTAACAACAACGTACCACTACAGCTGAGGAGGCAAAGACAATATGCTATACTATGGAACTGAAATGCACTCGGAATTCAAACAAATAAAAGATCAGTAGAAGTTGGAATAGATCAGGATTTGGTAAACTTTTTCTGAGAGTAGTCAGACAGTAAATACAAGCTTCGTGAACCATATGGTCTCTGTTGCAACTACTCAACTCTGACATAGAACAAAAGCAGCCATACACAATACTTGAATGAGAATGGCTGTGTTCCAATAAAACTTTATTACAGACATTGAAATTTGAATTTCATGATTTCTACATATTACAAAAAATTCTTTTATTTTTTTCCATTTCTAAGTGTAAAAAACCATTACACAAAAAGAGGTAGCAGGCTGGATTTGGCCCATAGGCCACAGTTTGCAGACTCCTAAAATAGGTGAAAAGCTAACTCATTTCAGCAACAGATAGTGGTATCACCTGAGTTTCACCTAATGAAAATTCAGTAGTGAAATGAGGCAAGGCCAAGATTAGTAATATAAATTTTAAGATCAAACAAGCATAGAACTTTAGAAAATCATCTCAGAGATCATTTAATACTCTTATTTCATACTTTCATATTTATATATTTTATAAAGAAATATAGCTAATAGAGAACAGAGTAGAAATCTGGGCCTTTCAAGTCCCCAAGCCATAGGAAGATCAATTTTCTATTACTTCTCTAAAACAGTCAACCAAAAGAGAGGTGTTATCTTGGCCCTGAAAAGGTAAGTATAGAACTTTGGATTAGAAAGAGGAGATAATTAACAAGAGGAAGATGAACAAACTACATCATATCAGAATCCGAAGTAAAAGTTTTTCCAGCGCCTTTTAACAATGTCAAACACAGCAGCTATGATAAATAGTAATTCCAATGTATTTGTTTTTATTTCTCCATAATCCCTTCTATAACTCTAGCATTAGTATTTTGCCCCAAATCTTTGAATTTAGCTAAGGTACAAATGGATACTTTTATATTTCTACCTATAACTTCCTCCTCACCCATCAATTCACCTTGCACATCCCTGTGCTCCTGGTCTACACCGTCACTGTTGCTGCTAGTTGCTATCGAGTTGATTCTGACTCATGGTAATCCCATGTGCGCAGAACTGCTCCACTGGGTTTTCAAGGCTGTGATTTTTTGGAAGCAGATTGCCAGACATGTCTTCCAAGGCACCTCCGAGTGGGTTCGAACTGCCAACCTTCAGCATAGTCAAGGGCTTCACCGTTTGTGACACCCAGGGACTCTGTAACACTGTCATTAACTTGCCTAAATGTCTTCTTTCCTCACTTATCTCAATCCTACTGAACTTTCAAGTAATATCTCCTCTATCTAAACTCCTCAAACTGATTTTTTTTAAATCAGTATGTACTGCCTTGTATATAGCTTTTCTATTCTGTCTTCATCTGGCATTTAACTATTCGTAAATTGTCATGTTCTCTTCCTATCAAAAAAAAAAAAAAACCCCGTTGCCATCGAGTGGATTCCACCTCACAGTGACACTATAGGACAGAGGAGAAGTGCCCCACGGGGTTTCCAAGAAGCAGCTGGTGTATTCAAACTGCTGACCTTTTGGTTAGCAGCTGATCTCTTAACCACAGCACCACCAGGGCTCCTCTCCCCATCAAAGCTGTAAGCTTTTTTAAGGCAGGAAGCAATATTTTATACTTCTTTGTATCACTAAGTGCCTACCTGGCCCAATAAAAATAATGGTTAGGGATAATAAAACAGGCTAAATCTAATCCAAAGCTAAAAAAAAATGAAAATTCACTTTTACCATTAACTTTTCATGATGAAAAGCTTGAGAATCTAGCTAACTGACACATACTAGTCATATTTTAACCCTGAAATCAAAGTTATATCTAACTCTTTTTTCCCCCAAGTAATAGTTTCAACTCTAAGGAGTAAAACACACAGACATGATCAAACGTAAACAACCAGTTTCATTTCACTGCAAATCTAAGGCAGTGTGGACAGTCAACTTCTGAAACAGTGAAAAAAATAACCACCTTTGCTTACTGTCTCTCTTACATTCAAATTCCTACTTGCAGTTAAAACATTCAAATTTAAAATGTTTCTTCCTCTGAAAAGGATTCCCAAAGAGACTGATAAAAATATTTGTTCACTTTTTCTGCACTGCTTAGTACTCATAACTATTTACTCCTTTCTAGTTACTACCTTAGTGACTACCCCTCCAACTAAAGTATGAAGTACACCATGTCTTACTTATCTCGGTATCCCCAAGGCCAGGTACATGGTAAGTGCTAAATAAAGTTAATCTGAGTGAATGAATAACAAACCAGAGGTTTTCAATTTTTCTATGAAAATGATCCCTTTTTTCAAAGAAATTCTTATATTTAAGTACAATACATTTAACAGATAAAAATAAAAGCTGCCTTGGTTTGGGAGGGTAGCCTGTCAGAGTATGTCTCAAGGCATCTAGGAAAAATACCCAAGGAACAGAGTTTGAAATCTAATTAACCCAAAATTCGTATTTAAAATTCTCAGTGTTAAATTATTTTTTTTTAATTTCTAATACGGTTTTCCCTAGTTTGATAAAATGGACAAAGACTTCACCTAAATAAATAAGAGCTTGATTACTCAGGTTACCAAATGATTATTCACTTTATCAAAGTTTCTTCACAGTTCTTTTAGAAACCAAATGCCCCAGTTTATGTTCGAGTTTTAGGAACGTAACTATTACTAAAATAGAACACTACACAATGTTTCTTGAGTCAATTATATTATTATCTACATACCTTCTTGGTGTGCAAAAAAAGAAATAATCATGGATCTTACAGCCCAAATAAATAGTTCTTATTTAAAAACAGTATCTATGAAAACTAAAGTTGTGACAATTAAAACTTATTCTGCAGCTACCAAGAAATTGTCCACTACACTATTTCATATTTAAGAAGCAAATACTAAAGACAACACTTACCTAAAGCCCTGCTAAGACTGAAAAAGTAAACGTTTTGTACAGTCTTCGTGAGACGTAACTTTTTCCTCAATTAAAAAAGTGAATTACAAAACTATTATTCTAAACTGTACCACAACTTCAATTCCAAACAACTAATGCGAATAAAATATTTCATTCCTTAAAAATCTTAACTCTCAAGGTCAAAATAATTCATTTTCTCCAAAAGAACAGGTATACTAAATCTGCCTTTCAAGTCCCCACAAAAAAAGGAGGGGGGGAGAGGGGTCACAGAGAACAGTTTTCAAAACATTTAGGGTAAGTACCATGTGACAGAATTAAGATAATAATTTTGCAATACATGTTTTAAATTGCTGAAGTAGTTTAAATGGGGGGAGAGAGAGAGAGAAATTTTAAAAATGGATAAAAACACCAGAATTTTCTGACAATTCTTTCTCATGTCAAAGTGTGACATACCCCACTTGCCAATACGCTTAAAAAAATACAAACAATAGCAAAATAAGACATGCTGACCCGGGTTTAAAAAAAAAGGTAGCTCACACATGACAACCAAATCCACTGTTATCTAATCATCATTATTGTTCTAATTGATTCTACTCTGAGTCAATCAGATCAATAATGCTATTTCTTGCAAGTTAAAAGTATAAGCATACACAGCCTTTCAATCCAGTTTATTCAATCATACAGTAATTATTTCGGTGCTCTTGGAGATAAACATTTGCAAGTTTTTTGTGACGCACACTTAGCACTCTCTTCCTCTGCTCTATGTACTATAGACACAAGAAATGTGAGTCAATAGCAAAAAATAGATTAAAGAGCAAACACTGAGAAAGTAACTTAAAATAGAAGCAAAACCTTTATCTGGAAAATGTCTAGTAGGTTACCAATACGGTTGTAGTATGTATACCTAAAAATAAGAGTACTGTTTTATCACACTAAAGTACAAAATAAACTGGAAATGACAATAAAACATTTCCAAGTAATAGATCTTATGGAAAACATTTTTTTCTGAAGTTACGATGAAATGAAATTTTTCTAAAAAGAACCATTTATATGCAGATAAAGCTTCACCTCTCTGAAGTGAATGAGATCCTTAATTCCGATGTCTTGCACTCCTCAATATGCTGTTCAAATTGAATACTGGTTCTGCACTCAATATACTGTTCAAATTAAATACTGGTTTCAGATTTCTCTTTTAAGTGGAGCTAGCACCCCCTACCCCGACCACAAACACCTGTAGAAGGCAGCATAAGCAAACATTAGTAAATACAGCGACGCACTTCACTGTTTTATTCCTGAACATACTGGTTTCCACCTGACTATCACAAAGAAAGAGCAAATTATCGATGGAAATTTAAACTTAAAAACATGTGCACACAAGCACCTATATGCCTATTTTGGTCTAGATTTAAAATATTTAAATTCCCATTTATTAAGCATGATCCCAAACTAGATTTTTATCATACGGTAAAAGCATAAGCGTCTCCCCTACAACTTTATTGCAATTTTACTAAACGTCAAAAGTTTGCTCTTACTTCCGAGCACCTTTCAGCCTGAGCTACACCAAAAGCCTCCACCTCACTTGCATTTCCAATAAAACTGTAGAGGCAGAGTGTGAGGGAGTGTGTATTTATGTGTGGGTAAGTACGCGCGCGCTCCCGCGCGGTCCCCCCGCCCCATACTTTTCTTTAGTGGAAACAGACGAAGAATCTAGAGGTTGGTTCTAGCGAAAACTCAGTATCAAAGCCTCAACCCAGTCGCAGTAAACGGATAGGACTCTTGTGTTCTGGTTGCGCAGTGCAACTTCTTTCACCCTACACCGAGCTTCAGCAGCAGTTGAGAAATTGGTGAAGAGAACCCCACGAGAAGTAGGGGAGATAAGAAAAAGTGAAAGGGCCCATCCCCTTGAAAGGCGTTTAAGTTTGCAACCAAGGTTGGGTCTCCGCGAATATGCACCCACCCCGCCTCCCCTTTCCAGGTGGAACTCGTTAACAGCCGCAACCCAGCAAACACACCGCAACCTTCCTCCCCCACATACCACCCCAGACCAGGGCAAGTGAGGGCGGCGAACGAGTGTGGACGCCAGCCGCAGCCGACGCGATCGCCCGCCACTAGGCCTCCACCGACCCCGGCCCGGTCACCTGTGGAGAAAGCGCCCCCTCCCCCGGCCTCTCTGCCCTTCAAGCCGACCGTATCCCACCCGCCGCAGCCGCTCCCCGCCCGGCCTGCGAGGAGGATAGAGGACGGCGCCAGGTTCCCCTTGGTAGCCGCGGGCCCCCAGCCGCCTTGAACTGGTTACAAACGGCGGCTGCAACCAAGCGGGGCAGCCGGCGGCGGGAGGGTCTCTAGTAGGGAGGAGAGGGAACGAGCAGGCAGGCCCGGAGAGGCAGGGGGTCGCAAGGTCCTACCTAATACCGTCGGTCTCCTCCGTCTCCTCCTCAACGGCAGCGGCCCCGGCGGTGGCGGCGGCAGCGACATTCCTGGGGAGCGCTCCCGCCGCCGCCGCCTCCTCCTCCACTCTCTGCTCGCTTCTCTTCCCCGGCGCGCGCACCAAGCTCCGCGTCCCTTCAGCCACCTCCCCCCGCCCCCAACACACGCCTCGAAACCCCAAGCCCTACGGCGCCCGCTGCTTGGTAACGCACCCTCCCTCCCTCCCCGCCACCAGCGGTGGCCCCGTCCCTCCCCCCTTCCCCTGCGTCCGCCGCCGCGCCAGGTTCAGTAATGGCGGCCACTCAGGCTCCCTCGCGTTGACGGATCTCTCTCCCTCTCTCCCGAACTTTACCTCAGCATCCCTCCCGGCGCGCACCGCCGGAACGCACGCACGCGCGCACAGCCACACACCCGGCCGGGGGCGGAGCGGCGGCGCAGCCTCGACGGGGCGCGCGCGCGTCCCCGCGCCGCCCGTCCCACAATCCCCCGCCCCCACCGCCCTCACCGCGCAACGCCTCCTGCGCCGCGCGCCCGGCTCGGCCCCGCCCCTGCCCTCGTCTCCCGGGAGCCTGGGAAGGCGCGAGTGATGGAGCCAGAGGGAGCGAAGCGAGCGCGCGGGGCCGCGTCCTCGCCCGCGTCCCCGCTCCCTCATTGGTTTTTGCACCTCCCCCCTCTTCCTCCGCCTCTTCTATCCATTGGTTCACTCTCCTACTCCATTCCTTCTCACCTTTTCCTTTTTACCCATTGGCGTGAGTATTTTTCCTCCGCTTTCCCTTTTCTCCGTATTCTGCTCCTTCTCTGTCCCATCCTCCACGCTTTAAAAGCTGCATACCGTGCAACCCACAGAACGGTCGTCTCCGAACCTTCTCTTTCCTTCTGTTCCTGTTTCTGGCCGTAACTCAGAGCAAACCATAATACTGCAAAGGAACCTAATATTGTGTTAGCCGTTGCAAAACACGGCATGGGCACTGACTGCTTCTCGATAAACCCCCTACGACCTCTGAGCATTAAAGAATTCAAGGGAGGAAAATATGCGCCCAAGCTCGTTCGCGAGGACATGCATATGCTCCTGCGTGTGCAGCCAGTTTTCTGCCTGGGGATCGCTCGCCAACTACAGACTACACCCGTCCGGGACCTGGTGCCATACTCACCCAGAAGGCAAAACTCCACTGGGGAGCTAAAAGGAGTCCATTTCTCCGTCAAGAAGGCACCGGGACGCAGGCCCTTGATTCAGTCCGTTTTTATGGAAGTTAAACAAGATGCCAAGACTTGGGAAGGATTTTAGGGCGGCCCCAAATACCTCTGCTCTCACCACCACGAGCCAAACTTTTTAGAACGACTGGCCACCTGGGTTTTATTATGCTGCCTTAAAATACACAGTATTTTTTGAGACTTCTAGAAATTTCCCAAGTTTGAGGGTACAATGGGCTTCTGGTGTGTTTCTTATCTGGGTATTTGACATTGAATGGTGGACGTATAAAGGACTGTAGAAACCACTGCCTTTCATTTTACAGTTGAAGAGACTGAGGTCCTGTGACTTTCCCAAGGTCACCAGAATCAGTCTTATATAAAGGTCTTAAAATAGTTGCCAGCAGAAAAAAGAACGAGCAAACCATAAATCTATTCCAATTTGTTAAGTCTTAAAAAAAAAAAAAAAAAAAAGCAATGTGGGGAGAATTCCTCTTTCGGGAAAAGATTTATATCCTGCATTGAAAACAGTTTATCAGTAAAGTTAACATATAAAAAGTCTTCTAAATTCAAGCTGTTCTTTATTTCTTGTGTTACATAAGGTACTGAAGTTAGCCAAGGTTGCTTTTTAGTGTTAGAATGATGCAGCTGCTGCCAACCAGAAGTACATTTACGGTCTGTCAGTAAAGAAAAACAAAAACTGCTTGTTGGTAAAAATCTGTTAGAAAATATTTGTCAGTAAATCTGTCACAATATTCCAGCAGAAGTTCTGTTAGTTTGTTCCACCCTCCTGCCCCTCTACTTTCCACATTTCTCAAAGGTAAGCTTAATAGACAAAAGCAGAAGAGACATTCGTAATTTCTCTATATGTCTCTTACTCTCTAATTTTAAAAAGGAGTATGACTAAAATTCCTTACTCCAGCCACTTGCTTTCATCTGAATGCTACCAAAGAGGTTAAATAAGATTCTTTCTTTCAGTTATAAACCATAGGCAGTGAAGAAAGATATTGTGAAAACTTGCAATGGAAGTAAGCACAGAAGGGGTAGAGAGGAGAAAAAGAAAATTGGGGAAGGGGGGGTGGAACCATTAAAATGTGGTGCTAATGCCACAGATACTGGCACCACTTGTACAGATTGGAAAGTTCATGCATTTAAATGCATTTCTTCATCTTTGTACTAAAACTCCTTAAGAATACATGAGCCCGTTTAAAGTTGTAACTATTTATTGAGTGAAATGTTATGTACTATAGAGTGTCCGCCCTGAAGATACTTAAAAATTATTTTCCTAAATAATCAAAAATTTTATAAGCATAGAAATGTGTTAACATAAACCCAAGTCAAATAAATCAGGGCTTTAAAGGGAGACATTAATGTGAAGAAGGTGTGATTTTCAGTTACAGGATGCTATATTGCAAAAAAAAAAAAAAGACTTGAAATTTCATTTTCTCATAATGAAGACACCAGAAAATGGAAAAAAAGCCATGGTTATCAAATGATAATATTCACAGCTGATATTATTTTTAGTCTTACACCATGCATCTTGATTTAGGAGCTCTGGAATTTTAGGAATTTGTTCTTTAATACCAACAGTCTCAAACTGTTGACCAGAATTAAGTTACCACGTTTATTCTTTTTATGTTATTTGCTCATCTCAAAAAATAAAATATATAGTTTGCTGTACAAATAGAAATCTAAAAATGAGAACTGAAGGCCAAAGCTCTGTGGTTGGAAACAATCAGATACCTACAAATAAAAGAATAAAGAGAAGAAAATAAAACAAAAACTAGAGAAGAGGGCATCTTTTAAAAATTGATCAGGAGCCATGCCTTGAGAGAAGTTCTTTACACACCAACCCTCCCTACTCAAAAGGGGAAATTTTGAGAAAATAAGGAACTTATTTTATGTGTATATATATATATATAAACACATAAGAGATGGAATACATATTACCAAGCCCTCTCAGATCAACCACTCTTCTTATCTAAAATAAAAAATTTAAGCACTTGTTCTGCTGTGCTGGATAATTAAAACCACCCAAAGATTTGTTCTTCATTTACTTTGAAAAAATTAGCAGAATAAGATTTCAATCAGGCATTTTAGGTTTTTAATTTAAATAGTCTTCTCCACAAATTGTAGTTCTCCAACACATCCTAATGAAGTATTAATATGCATGGTCTTTAGGATCAAAAGAGATGACAGTCATAAAAAATGTTATCGTAATCTCGGTTTCTACCGATGCTGGATGTGCTGTGGCTTCAAAAGAACTTACCCTTTAGAAGCGGCTACACCCCCCTGCTGGAAATCTCTGATCATAACAACTTTGGTTTTGTAGCCTCAACCAAGAATTTAGGAATAAGCCAAAAAAAGGGCCTTTCCCCTCACGACAGAATTGACTAGTTAGTACCTTTGCCTGTTTGATACCAGACAGGCTTTTGGAGAACAAACTACCTTAGAATTTCACCTTGATTACAGACAAAATACACAAATAAGTTGGAGATGATGATAGCAAATAACTGACTAATCAAAGCACTGAAAGACTGTTTATTGTCTAATTTCCTACTGAATTTCACAACTCGTTTCCAACTCCCCCCACTCCCTGCCTCACTGTTCCTTCCCTCTTTCTCCCTATTTCATACAGTTAGGACTCTTGGCAGTAGGAGGTAGGAGGAGGTAAGATTGGGTGGTATTTTAGCTAATAGGCAAATCATGGCATACCAATAGCCACAGGAGCCCTTTGCTGAGTTAAGGTGCTTGAGGGCTTTCCCCAAATTTGTTTTATGGCTACCAGTGATATTTTCAGTATGAAGAAAAGTTGCTAATTATGTCTTGGCTGTTACCATAGAAAATATTTTGATGAGTTAAGGTAATTGTGAGCATGCGACTGGAACAGGAGGAGAGTAATGCACTGACCTTCCTGGCATTTTGTTCCACAGAGCCTCGTTCTGTTGATTTTCCAGAATTGTATTTTCAGACTGAAATCCCATAGATGGTATCAGAGTATAGCTTCAAAATGTCATGCTCTTGCCACTCCAGTCCTAGGACATAACTGAAACAGTGAAAATAGCACTTTATTTTTGGATAATTAGTATTTTATAAAGATTATTTGTAATACAGACTCCTTTTAAAGGAATAACCATTCAGGTCCCACCAGCACAAATAGTTGAATTAGACAAAAATCTTCAAGTTATTTCCTCTCACAAAAGGAGGTATTGTTGGGCCATCTGGACCCTCCATTGAGTTTTTATGAAAGATCGCAGCTTGAATTTAATCAACCCCAATAAGGTTAACTCCATAAAGATAAAAAATAATTGCAAGGGTTGCTAAATGAAGGATTTGGATTCTCTATCTGAGATTGTTACCGCTGCATTTGCAAATCATTACAATGGAAAACAGGAACTTGTGTTGCTTGACTATTTAACCACATGAACATAATTTTTGTGAATTTCTCTTATTTTCACTTTCTTCAGACCCTATTCATTTTTTTTATTGTGCTTTAAGTGAAAGTTTGCAGTTCAAGTCAGTTTCTTATACAAAAATTTATACACACATTGCTATGTGACCCTAGCTGCTCTCCCTATAATGTGATAGCATACTCCTTTCCACCCCAGATTTCCCGGGTCCATTCAACCAGCTCCTATCCCTTTTTCCCTTCTCATCTCGTTCAGGCCCTATTTAGATTGAGAGCCCCTCTAGGTAGGAACCACAAATGGATCTTTGGCCCTGTATGATAACTAGAAGATCATTAGTAGAAATATCAGTAAATGTTTGATAATAATATGAAACACTCTAGGTTTTATGGATTTCTGTTGTTTTATTGCTAACAGAGGCTTTAGATTATATTTTGATGTGCCGGCTGAGGTAATCACTTTGAAAAGTACAAACTGTCCTGTGAAAGTTGAGTTAGATGTCCTTTCCAAATACAATCCACTCGTCTCACATAACATCTCTAATAAGTAAATGTGAGTTACTAGCAGCAAATAACTATGGGTCTGAAACATCAGGGAACATTCTAAACTAGTACAGCATAAGAGTTTCTGAAAATTAATAATAAGTTGGCTAATCACTTCACAATTAACGCTTTATCAGTTTTCCCTATTACTATAAATTACAATAGATAATAAATATTTACTTTGCTAATTCATGCTTCTGCATTTTCTTCAAAAAAACTTCTCAAATTACAATGTGATTTTTCTGATGGACACACAGCTTCTTTCACACACATCTATTACATAGTAAGTTCTAATAATATTCATCTTCTTTCCCCAACTAGACTTCCCAGCCTTCTTCAGCACAGCCCAGGACAGAGCTGTATCATATACTTCATTTGTTTCTAGCTCTAGTTCCTACAGGAGTGGAAATTAAATAACTATTTTTTCATCCTTTTCAAAAAAAGTATTTA